ATTGTTTCTCATTTTGAAGCTGAACTGGACCTATAATTGAAATTAACGATACCAAGCCAGAAGAATATGGTACCCAATTCTTTTGTTTCGTGAGACCTTGCAACACAGCAATTCGGGACTCAACTTTAAGTGAAACAATATTAGGCTCGCGGTCCACCATTGGTAGAGGGCCAAATGTCACATGGCATAAAAGCGTTTCCACAAAACTGGTGAATCAACGGCGTTGATGCCATGTTTGGGCTGTGAGTAGAAAAAGTTTCTCGGCTTATGTTTGACGGTTGAAAACAAAAAGGTTGTCGATTTTAAATGGTTTACCCGTTAATCTAAAGTTGCCCCTCATACGATGACGTCATTTTCAGACTGCGGAGTCGAGCCACCCCGCCGTACTTTGCGTGGCAGCTCCACTACGAATGAGGATAAGAATGATGGTCTTTGTGTGATGCGGACTTTTTCTTACTCTTTCGTACTATTCCAGTTAAAAAATATGAGGGAGGAGCGAGCCATCATTGTGCAGGGGGGAGGGGCAATTCAACATCGGGGGTGGGTGGGGCAGGAGCCTCACAGAAGAACGCAAATCGACACCCGTGACGCGGGAGACCAAAATTTCAGCGCCGTGCTCACAACTGTTGGTGCATTGTTTTGGAAATCCTTTGTTGAGCGCATGTGTCCCGTGGAAGGGTGAGGGCTCAAACAGCCGGTAAATGTCGCAGACCAGCCGGGCCCCGTCATGGACCGTGCGGCGGAGCTGGAGCAGGAGCTGGACGACTGGAGTCGCTGGAGGCCGGGCAGCAGTGATCCTACAGCTGCCGGACCAGGCGCGCGACGGCGCCGACTCCGTCATCATGGAGGTCGTCCGTTGTCGACGGCAACCAGATCCACTTCATCGCGCCAGGTGCGGAGCGCTAGGGCTGGGGGACGGCGCGGTCACGAGGTGTCGCCAGGTGCGGAGCGCTAGGGCTGGGGGACGGCGCCGGTCACAAGGTGTCGCCAGGTGCGGAGCGCTAGGGCTGGGGGACGGCGCCGGTCACGAGGTGTCGCCAGGTGCCGGGAGCACAGAGGCTGGGGGACGGCGCCGGTCACGAGGTGTCGCCAGGTGCGGAGCACGGAGGCTGGGGGACGGCGGCCTGTCACGAGGTGTCGCCAGGTGCGGGAGCGCTGGGGCTGTGGACGGCGCCGGTCACAAGGTGTCATCAGGACTCGGCGTCGTGGGCATGTCTATTGCTCGGCGGCTCACCCCGTACGTTGAATGGGACCCGTCCGAGTGTCGGCAGGGGGTGTAAGACCGTTGGTCGGCCCAGCATTCTGTTTGGGGGCTCTAGCTGCTCGTGAGGTTTTTTAAGACTTAAAACGTAGGGATTTCGGCGTTGTGTGGAATAGCGTTAGCCTAAAATCCCGCTGTTCTCCTCAGTGACGTCAAACTTTTCCCCTGTGCGGGCCATCACCATATTACCACCAGTTTAAAAGCTAAAGAATGCTGCTGGTAGGAGCTCTTTATCACGGGGTGATATTTTCTCCAGATGATATGGCTCATTCGTGTCTTTTTCGTGGCTATTTTATGAACATTTCATAAAATAATATTGTATTATCATCTGATCTATTTCCTGGTTTCGCGCTTGAAGGCTGAGTCATGATAAACCTTCCGGCGACCTGAATGTGCGTAATCTGCTGTCTTCATGACAGCGTCAACTCCCTGCCCTCTGCGTGGTCAAACAATGGACCACAGCCATCAATGACCACGTTGCTCGGTCTTCACTATGAAGCAAGGCATGCGGTCCGCCTCGCCCGTCCGAGTTGTGTTCAGTGTGGCTCGATTTAACCTGCCGCCCGCACGGGCATGGTCAGACAGCACCGATCCGGATCCGGATCCGGATCCGGAGCCGGAGCCGGTGGCGGTGGAGGGGGCCGATCTGAAGCCGGTCCCGCCCGAACTGAACCTGCCCGGATCGGCGGCCGGCGCGGCCTCCAACGACGACGACGACATGGAAGAGGTGAGGGGCCCTCGCGCGCGCTCTGCGGCTCTGTCGGCTGCTTGAGGCCGCGTACTGCCGTCGAACGGCGCGGCCAGCTCGGTGGAGGCGGCCCTGCGTGCGGGTTGGCCGCGGAGGAGCGCGACAGGGAGAGATGGGCGGGATGATCGAGGCTCGCACGCACACCGTAGTGGGTTTTTTTGCGAGACGACTGCTGCTGCAAAACTGCTGCCGACAGGCCTCTTCGACACCGATTGTACACGACAGCAGCCACAGTTAAGGTTTCTACTGACAGTCCTCACGCAGGACAATAAATGTACACCGTGAGAGTTTACTGGTACAGATGATGTAGCATGACGATGATTTTGCCTGTGGCAATACTAACGTTTAGCAGCGATGATGCTTGGTCATGATGCGTTGTCCACTGCAGCCGTTTGCTGAAGGAACTTTGTTTGTATGACTCCCGTCGGGCAAAACTGTAGTTGCAGATGTTTTAGCCGTGGTGGTAGTTTCTCTGCAGAGCTATGTCGGGAGTAGTTGTGACGTGGTGCGGGTGTCGAGGAGAAGTTCTGCAAGTAAGATCTAGCACTCAGTAGTTCTCTCATAACAGGGTGAGAGCGTTTGATAGAGTTGTAAGCCGAATGGGACACTGTATGCGAATTTTACGTCTTCTTTGCAAGTCATCCCCTATCTATTTCACTGATATTTGAACTGGTATCAGCGCTTTCCTCGCACCAGTGCATGGATATTCCTCAACACAGGACACAACGTAAAGCGGTGTTACCTCGTCACCAAAAGCATCGATGTTTGGCGCTTGTGTCGCAAGCACCAAACCTCACGCAGTGGGGCCGAGAAGGCGATCACCACCGCCATCACACGGACACACCACTGGAGCGGGGCCCCAATCACACGCGTGCCCTGCGCCCCGCCCCGCCCCGCCGCCCCGGCGCCACCGACGCCCCCCTGCGGCCGACAGGTGGAGGTGGAGCGGTGCTTCCTGTGCCGGCGGCCGGCCACCCAGTCGCTGACCTGTCTGATCCTGGGCCGCACCGGCGGCACGACCTGCTCGCTGGCCGAGCGGCTCAGCGGCTGCGTGGCGCCGCGCAAGCTGGACGTCAGCACGGCTGACGGCGTGTGCCGCCCGTGCGTCGCCCTCATCGACACGGCCGACGAGCACTACCACCAGTACCAGGCGAGTGCGCCGACACCGCGCGGCGCCGCTGATCGGGCCGCGCGAGTGCCAGCCCTGGCCGGCGTCAGCTGATGTCTGGCAGCACGTGACTGATCTGGCAAGGTGTCTGACGTCACAGAGATAATCTCTCGAGGTATCTGACGTCACAGAGAGGATCTGTCGAGGCGTCTGACGTGACAAAGATTGTCTCGAGGGGTCGGACCTCACGAAGATTACCTGCCCAGGTGTCTGACGTCACAGAGATAATCTCTCGAGGTATCTGACGTCACAGAGATGATCTGTCGAGGTGTCTGACGACACGGAGATGATCTGTCGAGGTGTCCGGCGTCACAGAGATAATCTCTCGAGGTGTCTGACGTCACAGAGATGATCTGTCGAGGCGTCTGACGTCTCGGGCTGGTTGTTCGGCAGCTGGCCAGCCAGGGGATTGTCCAGCTGCTGCAGGACAGGGAGGAGCACCAGCAAAGCCGGACGCAACACTCGGACGGCGACGAGTCGGAGGAGGCGGGACCTGCAGAGCCGCCTGGTGAGAGGCCCAGACACATACAGACACTTGGTGAGAGGGAACCCTAGCCTCATGGTGTCGCCTGGTGAGAGGCCCAGTCTGACAGAGACACTTGGTGAGAGCCCCAGCCCCAAAGTGTTGCCTGGTGAGAGGTTCGGCCTCACAGACACTCGATAAGATCCCCAGCTCAGTATTGTCGCCTGGTGAGATGACTAGCCTTAGTGTCAGGAGGCCGGCCCAATAAAGGCTCTGGTGGCGGCTCAGTAGACCTGTCTTGAGCAGCTGCCTGCGCACAATGCTCACAACTGGAGCCTGCCATGGGGAGTCACCTTTGTATCGTCCGGCAGCATCGCGGCCGTCCAGCGGTCTGGAGGAGCTGGACTCGGACGACACGGACTGGACGCCCCAGGGCGGGCCGACGCCGCGCTCCTCCCGCGAGCGCGCGCCCAAGCCGCGCCGCCCCTGGTCGCCGGAGGTGGCCGGCCGGCCGGCGGCGGCGCCCCGCACTGGCCCGGCGCCGGGCGCGCCGCCCCGCGGACGCGGTCGGCCCCGCAAGCACCCGCTGCCCGCCACGCCCACGGTACGCCCGGCCGGGGCGAGGCGCAGACGGCAGCCTCGCCACCACCTGCGCAGTGGCAGTGTGCAGTGGCACATGCGCCACCTGTTCCGCAGGGGGAGTATTTTGAAGTCACCTCGGCATTCATGGTGTCATAATGACGTCATTTAAGTCCTGTCATTCCATAAGTCACGCGGCGATCAAGGCCAAGAAAAACAGAATTGTCGACGCGTTCATATCTGGCGATTGTGAGCGAGCTTTCCAGATATAATTGTTGTCAATTGGCTCTCAATCAGTTTTGTGCAAGGTACGGTGGCGTAATGAAACCGTGACGCATTGAGGAGAATATTCGCTGAACAGATAATTTTACTGTCTATAGCAGTCTTTCACTTGAAAAGCATGCCATTGGTTATAAGTGAGCTTGTTTCAATGCTTGATTCAATCTCTTCAAATGTAAAGCATTCCCTTTAACGGTGACAACGGCGCCGGTGAGGCCGCGGGAGGGGATGCGCTGAGAGGGAGGCTCTCCGATTAGTACGAGGAGGTGGGGCTTGGCTAGGGAGCGGGACGTTACGGGTGTGCTGAGTTCTGCCTTCAGTGTCACCAGGTGGTGCCTCCGGATCGTCTTTGCTTCAAAACTGCCCGGTTTTGTTGTATGCTTGAAGAAAACACTTTGATCTCCCTCCGGCAATGGTGTCACCGATATATTAGTGATGCACAAATCTAGTAATAATAACATGTAATACTATGCATGACAAAACACTTGGCTATGTGTTAGTGATGCCGATTAAACACCTGTCAACTTTTACGTGTCACCCAAATCGGATAATATCGACGGCGTTGCAGGTGATAGAGTACAACGACATCGGAACACTTAAAGAGCAAGTGAAAGACATCAAGACGCCGAAGTTCAGCATCAAGGCCAAGCGGCCCCTAAAGGTGAAGCCACACAAGACTCAGTGAGCGTGCGGTCATCGGTCGAGCGGGCTAACCCGCCCGGCTCTCGGCGGCCTGGCCAGCGCGTCGGGCCGAGCCGGGCAGGGGCGGCGCGTGACACCCGTCACCGTGAGCTGTCGCCGTGGCCCGTCACCGTGGCCCGTCACCGTGGCCCGTCACCGTGACCCGACACCGTGACCTGTCACCGCGGCTTATCACCGTGGTCTGTCACCGTGACCCGTCACCTATCCTGTGACCGTGATCTATTACCGTGACCTATTACCGTGACCTGTCACTGTGACCTGTCACCGTGACCCGACATCGTGACCTGTCACCGTGACCTATCACCGTGACCTGTCACCGTGGCTTGTCACCGTGGTCTGTCACCGTGACCTATTACGGTGACCTATTACCGTGATCTGTCACCGTAACCTGTCACCGTGACCTGTCACAGTGACCTTTTACCGTGACCTGTCACCGTAGCCTGTCATCGTGACCTATCACCGTGACCTGTCACCGTGGCCTGTCACCATGGCCCATCACCGTGATCTGCCACCGTGACCTGTCAACGTGACCTTTCACCGTGACCTGTCGTCGTGACCTGCCAAGTGACCTTTCACCGTGACCTGTCAACGTGACCTTTCACCGTGACCTGTCACCCCCCCCCCCCCCTGGCTGTGACGTTCCACCGTGGCGTGCGCAGGCGGACCTGGAGAGGATCATCCACCTGGAGGTGCGCGCCGCCGACGGCTCCGGGCCGGGCCCGCTGGCGGCGGCGGCGGCGCGCCGCGGCCGCCCGCCCGCGGCCCGCGCCGGCAGTAGCTACGAGTGCCGCCGCTGCGACATACAGTTCCAGGACTCCCGGTGAGTTTGCTGTGTTGTTTGGCGTCCCGGCAGCCCGGCGAGGACCCTGTGACATGTCCTGTGGGGACTCCTGCCAAATCCGGGGTGACGCACCGTCCCAGGATTGCTGTCGAACCTACTGTAAGACGCTGTCCTAAGGCTTCCGTTATGCCTACCAGCACACTGTTGTACTGGAATGGACTGGATTTGATTGGGCTGTGTTTTGCTTTGCTTCGCTTTGCTTTGCTGTGCTGTGCTGTGCTGTGCTGTGCTGTGCTGTATTGTATTATTGGTTGCTGCAGTGTACTGAACTGTATTGAACTGCACTGTGCTGCGCTTCACTGTATTACGTTGCACTGCCCCGCGCTGTACGTTACTGTGCTGTACTTTCCCACAGTACTGCTCCGGCCAAAACGTGCTGTGATGTATTTGGCTGTGCTGTACTCGACTGCACTGCACGAATCGTCTGCGCTGTGCCGTACTGTATCATGTTGTACGGTTCCGCATGTGGCCTGACACCGTCGGCCCGGCCGCAGGGAGATGGTGAAGCACCTGCAGCAGCACGTCAGCAAGCCCTGGTGCAAGCGCTGTCGCACCGAGTTCCCCGACCGGGCGGCGCTGCTGGAACATCGGCGTGCCTGCCGCCTGCAACATCGCTCCGGTCCGTACCGCCGCCGCTGACCCGGCGCAGTGCGTCACTGCGTCGCCCTTATGGCCGGGAGGTCGTGGGTTCGAGACCGGCCGCCGGCCAGACTTTTTGGGCTTGATTTGTGTGGAACTCGGCCACTTTTGCACCTCGTGTCCCTTCAGGTTTTTTCTTGTGTGGAGGCGCTGACGATGGGCCTGGTTGAGTCTGGCGTCCGGTACGGGTCGCTGAGTCGGATTCTCTATCGTGATGGCGTCAGTGATAGCCTCACCAGCTCAGGAATGGTCAGAGCATGATCCACGGTCTTCTGTTGCTCATGTTGGGGATTCGGGATGTGCCCCATTGGTGGAATGCGTGCTTGGGTTGTCTGCCTCCCCTGTTGACGCGTGTGGCGTGTTGGAAGAGTGGTCGATTAGTGCAACCTCTACGGCATGCTACAATCGTTTATTCTTTGTTGTTTATTGTGTATTTAGGACATAAGCATTCTACAGGCAAAACCCAATTACGGAAGCAGTCCAGTTTTAATACAATCACCTGGATTACGTTGCCGGTGCAGTGACAAGGCGTGATCGGGTGCGGTGCATGTCGCCATAGCATAAAGACATCCTCTGCTCATTGAGACTCGGCTAGGACGACGCCCCTTGATGCAGTCTGGTGCAGCACGCATCACCGCAGTGTGGCGCGGTGCAGTGCGGTGCAGTGACGGCGGCCGTGCCGGCAGGCGTGTGTACCATCTGCGACCGCGAGGTGCAGTTCCACCGGCACCACATGAAGCGGCACAGCGAGATGGTGGCTGAAGGACTGCTGGAAGAGGTTAGCTGGCTGCTGCGCCTGGATCGGGCTGGATATGCCCCGGTCGGGCTAGATTGGTCCGGGCTGGCCTGTATCGGTCCGGTTCGATTCAGATCGGTTTGCTCCCGTAGCCGTGCGGGGGCGGGGGGGGGGAGGGGGGCAGGGTGCGTGGTGGTCCCCAGGTGGGACGCCGCTCGCGGCTCGATGTCTCTCCGGTGGCTGGGGTGTCTGGCTAGCCCAGGGCTGCTGGAGCTGACTACGTGCATATCCTGTGGACAAAACGTCTGTTGCTCAACCCACGCCGTGGAAAGAACTTCCGGACACGCGCCCTTTTCTCATATTCTTTGCCTCCTGTATATGTGCTGTGTTGGTGGTGAGGGGGAGCGGAGGGGTGGCGCCACTCCAGTGGGCCAAGCTGTCACCGCCGGCGCCGCCTTCGTCACGCCTCACCGGCAGCTGCACGCGCGCCGGCCGTCAGAGAGACCCGTGCCGCGCCGCTCTGACCGTGTGGGTCGGCAGGGGGCGCCCATGCCGGAGGAGCAGGACACGCTGCCGGCAGGCGCGCTGCAGCGGCGCGTCGGCAAGTACCTGGCCGGCGGCGTGTGCAGCATCTGCGGCGAGCACGTGCCAGAAAAGCTGCGCAAGCACGAGCGGCTGCACAACATCACGCACACGTGCCCCATCTGCAAGAAGGTGTTCACGCGCGAGGACGTGGTGCGGGGACACATCAAGGTGAGGGCCGGCTCCAGGGAGGCTCGGGAAGGGTCAGGGGAGATTGAGGGGCGGCTCCAGGAAGGATCGTGGGCGGCTCCAGAGGGGCGGGCGGTTCCAGAGAGGGTCAGGGGTGACTCCAGGAAGGGTCACAGGTGACTCCAGGGAGAGTTGGGTGACTCCAGACAGGGTCGCGGGCGACTCAAGTGTGGGTCAGGGTGACTCCAGGGAGGGTCATGGGTTACTCCAGGGAGGGTTAGTATCGACTCGAGGGAAGGTCAGGGTTGACTCCAGTGTGGGTCAGGAGTGACTCCGGGTGACTCCAGGGAGGGCCAGGGGCGGCTCCAGGACCACTCGGGGAAGGTCAGGGGACATTGAGTGGCGGCTCCAGGGAGACTCGGGGCAGGTGTGTTAAGATGTTTATGTTCAAACATACGTAGCGTATGTCGCTCACATGAACGACCAGGGTGTACCTTATCAAACGCTTGCCTTCGTGTTTGTCCCTTGTGTGTCGCGCCTTGTGCCCCTTCCCTGCCCCCCCCCCCCCCCCCCTTGGCAGCTGTCTGGTAATCGCTGTCCCGATCCAGCGCCACGCAGACGTCCGTCCGGGTGTTCGTCGTCACACTGCATTCCACGTGTGTTCTCAGTCGCGCCCGGCGCCGTTTGGTTTGTAGTGCGTCTCCCCGTCTGACCAGAGGCGCTCGCCGCGCTGGGCGCCGCCCCAATGGAGTCTCGCTGGGCGCCGCTCCGCTGGAGCCCGCCGCGCTGGGCATCGCTCCAGTGGAGCCAGCCGCGCTGGACGCCGTCCCGCTGGAGCCCGCCGCGCTGGGCGCCGCCCCACTGGAGTCTCGCTGGGCGCCGCTCCGCTGGAGCCCGCCTCGCCACCGTGCGGTTCTGACGCCCCTCATGCCGTCCGTTGCAGCGCGTGCACATGAAGGAGCGGCCTCACGTCTGCGCCCAGTGCGGCAAGACGTTTGTCTCCGTCTACAGCCTGCAGCGACACGAGATGATCCACAACAACGAGTACCGTTTCTACTGCCAGGAGTGCGGCGACGGCTTCCGCCAGAAACAGCAGCTGACGGCGCATATGCGCCACAAACACGGCGTCGTCGACGTCGTGTTCGAGGACGTCCAGGTAACGGCACGCGCCGAACACGTGGGGCGCCGGCAGAGACCGAGGCTCCCGGTCTTCTGACGCGAGGTGGAGGCCGGGTCGCTGCTGAAATGTTGCGCTGGTGCCGCCAAAGCATCCGGATTTGAGACGGGGACGACCCACGGTCACGACAGTGCGCGCGCGGATGAATAATGTGATGACGTGTGAGATGCGTCGCACCGTCAGCCAATGGCTGGTCACCGCGCCCCTGGGCCCACATATTCCGACTGTCAGCTAATGGCTGCTCACCGCGCCCGTAGGCCCACATATTCCGACTGTCAGCTAATGGCTGTTCACCGCACTCGTAGGCCCACATATCCCGACGGGCGAGCAATGTCGCTCATGATGGGCGATACCCTGGAGGTGCTCTGTCACCGAGCCGTGTGACTCCGCCTGCCGTGAGCCGGTGGCCTCTGACCTTGATCTCTGAGCTCCTGACGTGATCACTGGATGTTATGTGTGACCTTGATCCCCACCGGCCGCTGAACGTGACCACTGGTGGCCTTGACCGTGACCCCCATTAGGCCTCTGATTGACCCCTCACCCGGAAGTATGTCAGCGCCCCCCCCCCCCTCCCCCCCCCCCCATTGCGACCCTTGACCGTGGCCTGTGACGACGACGTCAGGCCTCGGCCCCTGGGCGTGACCCGTGACCGCGTGACCGCAGGTGATGCCGGAGGGCTCGGCCGTGGTCGACGCCATGGCCGTGATGACTGACGGCGGCGTGTCGGTGTACCGCGGCGCCGTGCTCGAGCACGACCAGTACGACAAGGAGGAGTACGTCATAGCCACCAGCAGCGCCGACGGCGACGACGACGGCGTGCGCTTCAGCGGCGTTTCCGACGCGGAGGACCACATCTACCGCACAGCGCTGCCCCACGCGGCCGGTGATGGCGTGCATCTGGAGCACCAGTAACCGGCGTCGGAGGCTGGACCGGCCTCGAGAGCGGCGGCTGTGGTGAGCCGGGGAGCGAACCGACCCGCAGGATCAGGTGGCGACGTCAGAGGCTGGACCGTCCCTGAGAGCGGCGGCTGTGGTGCGTCGGAGAGCGGACCGACCCGCAGGATCAGGTGGCGACGTCAGAGGCGGGACCGGAGTGGGGGAGCGAGGAGCATGGTCAGGTACGGGTGGGGTTCCAGTGGCGCGGCGCGGTGCAGCCCGGCGCGGCGTCAGTAACGGGGCTGGACGGAAGCTGCGGAGGATGGCGACGGACGCTGGACTCGAGCTGGGAAAGCACCAGCCCTGCGCGGCCGGAAAACTGCGGTGAAGGCGCGCTCCAACCTGCCTCACTTGTGGCTATCTGTCTGAACTGTCTGGTCGGCGGCGCCCTCTGGAAGCGAACGGCTGCCCGGTCTCGGCGGCTGTCCGGTCGTCTCAGCGGTGCTGGACGGCACTCCTGGTACCAAACAGCTGCGGGTGGGCGATGCGCGGTCGTTTTTCATCGGTGATTGAGTGCTGGCTTCATCGAGGAGGCCAGGTCTGGACGTGGGAGAATTGTAGGCTCACGTGTGATGTTCTTCCCGTGCATTGAGCAAAGGGGTGTACGATGGGGTGTGAAAGTTGGCGACGCGACTTCCGACAACTATTTGGCTGTCTTCTTGACGACATGCAAAGTTTCGAATCTTTTCGTCCATTTCCTCCTTCGCCCACGTTATTTGGTTTGAACTTGCTTGTATGTACTCGCTGTGCCAGCGTGCTGGGTGGCTTCATATGGATCATGATGCGCACTTGAACAGTATATTCCGTTTCGCTGTACAGTTTGTGTTAACCCTGCGATCTCGCTCGGACTCGAATCCTGCTGGAACATGATTGTTGCCTTCGTTCAGACGCACCGCGATTCTCGCACGTCGGTCTTGTAGCAGGCGCTGGACGGACGCTCTGGGGCAATCGTCAGATTGGTTCTGCGCTGGATTCGTCCCGCTATTCCGCTGGGTGTCGAGCATGACATGCAGGGGCGGATCCAGAGGGGGAGGGGACATGCCTCCGCCCTTGGGGCCCGAAGGGTCTCATAGGCACCGAACGGGCCCTTAGCCGGCTGAACAGACGCAAGTTTTTACACAAAACTCAACAAAATTGGACGTCTTTTGGCTTACAGGCGACTAAAAACAGTCCAAAGGAACAGTGAGTGGTCCACGAGTAGACAACATTATTCCTCACTCATTGAGAGGGTGGCAAGCGGGAGGCTTTAGTTCTCATTACGCTGTCCAGAGACCCTACGCTGTTTCCGGGGGCTCTATATATCCGTTTGCAGGGTCAATCCGACCATTACGGAGCCTTCTACTCGCCCCTGATTGCTTTGCACTTTCTCTGAGAGTCTCGCGCTGTTGCCAGAGCCCTTCGTTTTAGCGTGCCGGGGCACTCTCGTCGATCAGCGGCCTTCCACTGATTCCTTCCATTGGCCGAAAAGGCCCCACACGCTTTAGCCGGGGGCCCCACATGTTAACCTGCCGGGATATTCTCGGTTGTTCAGGGACCCTTCATGTTGGTCTCGGTTGACCTACCGACTTTCACGACAGGCCCATGGGCCCTCTACAATGGTTACGGCCCTTCCCATTCTGTCACTTGCTTGGAGCCCTACACTCTTGTCGGGGGCCGATCTGTTAACCTGCTCGGGCACACTCGATCGCTGAGGGGCCTTCTACATTGGGTCTTGGGTACCTCCTATTTGAATGGAGGGCCCTGCGCTCTTATCGGGGTCCCTATCCGTTAGCCTCTTCCGGCCCGCTTGATCGTTTGGGGCCATCTACACTGTGTTGTGAGTATTTCTTATTTGAATGGTGTGTCCTATGCTCTCATCGGGGGCCTCTATCTGTTAACCTGCTTCGGCTCGGTCGATCGAGATCCTTCCACATCGTGCTGCGAGTATTTCGTATTACAATGGTGGACACTACTCTCTCGTCGAGAGGCCTAGCTCTTAACCTGCTCTGGTCACTCGATCGTTCGGGGGCCCCATATTGTGTAGTGGGTTTTCAGTATCTAAATGGAGGGCCCTTCGCTCCTGGCGCCCCAGCTGTCAACCTGCTCGGACGCACTTAACCGTTCCTTGGTTCTTCATATTGTGTGTTGGGTATTCTTATTTGATTGAACAGCCCTATGTTATTGTCGGGACCCCATCTTTAAAACTGCTCGGACCAATAGCGGATTCGGAGGGGACGGGTGGAAGGCGCGGAACCATGCCTCCACGTGCTCCAAGTAGGACTCTGAAGGGGTCCATGTTCTGCCGAACGGACGTAGTTTTCTAACATAAAACAACAAGTTGGACGTCTTTGGGCCCCCCGGACGACAAAGAACAGTCACAAGCGAAAGTAAGAGCCCGTGAGCAGGTAAAGCGTTCGCTGATTGAAAATATGGTGATTGGGAGGCATTTTGAGGCTTATTACGTTGTCAAGAGGTGTTACGCTGCTGCCAGGGCCCTATATCTCCCCTTGTCGGATCAGTCTGATTGTCCAAGGGACGTTTCACATTCGGAGATACTGAGGCAAGCATCAAACATGATGAAACAAGCTCACTTAATATTGGTATGGTTTTTAGGTGGAAAAGATCGCTTTTGACATGCGCAATTCTTTGATTAGTTGTGGTATGTGTGGCAAGGTGCGCTCGTCGCCTCGCTGGGCGCGCCTCTGCGCAGCGGCTCGACCTTGAACGACGTTGACCGCGTGACCTGGCCGGACGGCACAGAAAACCAGACGGAACGCCAGTCGACTGTAACCGGTGAGTGAGGATGATCACACCGGTGGCCAGCGGTTCGGTGCTGCAATGGAACGGGACCACAGACTGGTGGGGGAGGGAGGAAGACCTTAATGATTTTCTTCGCCGTATGGACGTATATCGCCCGTGTAGGCTAAGAGAAGAAAACAGTGGGCAAGGTACTGCTGGCCCTTGGCCCTCGGGGAAGTGTCATGTACCGACTATCGGAGGAGGATACCAAGGACGTACACAGCTTGAGGGTACCACTTCAATGGGAGTTCTGCAACTCTTCGAAATGGCATCAGGACAATTACGAGAACTGCCGTAGGCATTCTGAGGAAACGTATTGTATGTTCATTGCGAGTTTACGCATGCTGTTTCGTGATGCATGTCCGGGTGCGAATCCTTCCTCTCCAGTATCAGCTACCTTGCCCAGAAGGCGTTTCTTAGAAAGCATCAGCCCCGCGGCAGCACCCCAGATCCACCTCTCGTTCCCGGATATGGCCGTCGACAAACTGCCGGACCGTGCTAAACCTGTCGACAAAGCTATTTCATCGTCGGCACTGCAATCCGCCCCCGTTCAAAACGTCGCAACTGAAGACGGTCAAATCGACGGCGAAATGTGTGTATATTATGCTTGATATGTGCGAAAATATGTGGCATTCTAATCTCATGTTGGCTAGCTCCCCCTCAGCATGACAAAGTAACAGTACAACAGCCTACAAAGTGTTTCACTAGAACGGCTACGCACTATTGAAGATAATATTTCGCATTTAAAGATATTGGGCAAGCATCAGATATGATGAAAAATTACATTATAACCATTGGTGTGTTTTTAAGTAGAAAGGGCTGCTCTAGACAAAACGATTTCTCCGTTTAGTGAACATGCTCCCGGAGGCGTCATGGTTTGATCACATCATCGTACCTTGTACAGCATTGATTGAGAGGCAATGGGTGGCCGATATATTTGGAAGTTGTGCTCTCGAACGCCAGATATAAACAACCCGACCACCCTATTTTTCTTCGCCTTAATCGCCGTATGGCCTACGGAATGGCAGGATTTGAACAACGTTGATATGCCATCAGGACCGTCAAGGTTACATTGAATGGCTCTCCCCGAAAAAGTCTCCCCATTTTCTCTGGCGTGTAGCTCAGAGACTACACGGGGGGGGGGGGGGGTCGGGTATTAAGAATGATATGACTTAAGTAAACTGCACCGAAAGGTACCGCAGCAGGATGGATCTGCTGAACCATTATTACAAAGTGAGATGGTGGTTTAGAGTACGACCTATACATTTTCAGCACGGAATCCGATTCAAAATCTGTCCTAGCAAATTTTTTGCTTTCGGTTTTGTGCATTGTATATTCCATTTCATAGCTATGCATGCGTTTGGAGCTTATGATACCGCACCAAAAACAATGTTCTGCTATTTGATTTTTTTCTCATGAGGCCATGCCACAAGGAATTTTGCCTTTTGAGTCATACAATATTAGGTTTGTAGCTTTCGATGGGTAGCAGACCAACTTGACGTTGGGCATAGTCTCCCCGAGACCGGTTAATCAGCGGCGTCAATATCATGTTTGGGTTGCGTGGAACAAGCGTCTGGAGTTAATTTTGACGGGCAAAAATATGTCATATATAAAGGAGTTTAACCTTTATTACCTAAAGATACTTATCACATAAGGAAATAATTTTGTGGTTGTGGATATCAAGTCACTCCGCTGCATCTTCCATGGTGACGTCAATGCGCGAAAAGATCAAAGTAGATAGTCTTGGTATGATGGTCAACTTTTACCCACGCTTTTGCAGTATTCCAGCCATTAACATTGGGGGAGGGGGGGGGCAAGCCAGCAGAGGGGGGGGGGGGGGCAAGTCACCATTGGAGGGACCAGGGTCCTCTCAAAAGAATACAAATCAACACCGTGTTGGAACCGTTTAAACGAGAAGTGAAAGAGCTTAGTCGCAATTATAAGTATCAGCCACTTGAGCCGGAACCAATAAATACTTGTTCATCGATCAGCTGCGGTCAAGGTCAGATGAATTACCTCGGTGCGGAATAGGTGGTTGGATCGATTTCCGTGTTGTTTTCGACGGTTCGGTCCTGCCGACAGGACAACTTGATACCTTTCAACCCCACCGCCAGTCACGTGGTCGTCGGTTTGCGTGTGAAACCGATAAACGGGCTACGCCGCACCGTCACAACGCCGCCGCGGCAGACCTGAGCCCCGCTACCCAGCGCCGCGGGGCCGGGCCCATCTGGGCACGGACGATATGCGCTGTGATACATTTCAAGTCATGACTCAGTCATTATTGCAGATAATTGCTTGAAACGTGGTGCAGACATCCTTCATAGTCCTATTAAAGGCACCTTATTCATGTTTTCATAATTCGGGTCTGAGACCAAAAGATGTTGGGCGTACCTTTTATCAATATTTGTGCTATAAGACATGCCAATATTTCTATGTGTAATATGGAAACAACACTAGGACACGGCATATGAACGACGCCGGATTAAGATAAGGTATTAAACTGCCGGGTTTAGACCTAAACTTCTTTAGTTTCTGAACATTACGCCGGCGAAGATGCGCATACTATTTCGGATCGACCATTTCAAGGTCACCCAGGCATCTATGACGCAATAAAGTCGTTCAAAGCCTGTCATTCCATTGGTTATGTAACGATAAATACTCAGAAAAATATAGCTGTCCAGTTGTTTATGTCTGGCGTTCGCGAGTACGACTTCCAGATGTAACAGCCTCAATTGGCTACCAGTCAATGTAGTGCTGGCTATCGATTAATGTTGTGCAAGATACCATACTCAAACAATGACATACTCTTGAGACATATGAGACAATGACATGATGACATACATACATACCTCTAAAACTCAAACATACTCTTGAGAAGCACATTCACCAAACAAAGAGATTGTGCTGTCAAAAACAGCCTTTTCTACTTAAAAGTAAACCACTGCTGATGAGTGAGCTCACTTTATCATATATGATGCTTACTTCAGGATCCTCAAATGTCGAGCAGTTCCTTTAA